AGAGCTCGTTTTGATTTGCAGCATATGGGCATAAGAAGAGATCTACACCCAACCAAGTCAGCTGATGGTCGGCATTTTACATTCGCTAAAGCATGCTTTTCGATGACGATGGAGGAGAAAAAGATATTTTGTGGTGTGTTAAAAAATGCTAAAATGCCGCATGGTTGTGCATCAAATATCTCGAGGTGTGTCAATGTTAATGGGAAAAAAAATATCAGGGTATAAGACACACGATGCTCATTTTCTCATGCAGTATTTGCTTTCAGTTGCTCTGAGAAGGACTATGCCTAGACGTGTTTCTATTCCATTAATCAGATTAGGGGCTTTCTTCAAGGGCTTATGTAGCAAAGTTCTTAATTTAAATGATCTTTATAAATTGCAGTCAGAAATTGTGGAGATACTTTGTCAACTGGAGAAAATATTTTTACCTAGCTTTTTTGATATTATGGTGCATTTGCCGATTCATTTAGTTCAACAAATTTTGGATTGTGGGCCAGTTAACTATTGTTGGATGTATCCGGTAGAGAGATATCTTTGTAGATTAAAGTCATATGTTCGCAATAGAAGTGCTCCTGAAGGTTCCATAGCGGAGGGGTATTTGGCTGAAGAGTCGCTGACTTTTTGCTCGTTATATCTACATGATGGTGTGAAGACAAGATTTAATAGATATACAAGAAAGTATGATGAAGTCATTGATGATGATGAGCCATCACCTATTTTTCCAAAGATAGGTCATCCAGTGGGCGGAAAGAGGAAAAGGAAAGGCAAAGCATTTGCATTGGATGATGTAGATTGGGTTAATGCACATAGATATGCTTTATTCAATTGCGGTAATAGGGAAGTTGGGGAGTATATTAGGTATACTTTATTTATTAAATCTTTATATATTATTTTTTGTATTCTTTAAATTCCACTATATAACATATTATGTTTGTTTCTTATTAATACAGAGAGCACAAACTCTTGATTGAGAATCAACCGAGAAAACGAGGTAGAAGAAGAAAAGTCTGCAGCCTAAGCAAGAATTTCTTATTTTGTAGGTCATGATCAAACCTCTTGCAAAGAAGCGTAAAAAAGACCTTTTATCCTCCTCTACATGTGACAAAACTTGCAAGGATGAATCAATCCAAAGCCTGCAGCCAACAGCTTGATGGAAGCAATGTACCAAGGATGAAAATGAAGCAGAAATCGCAGTGTCATAGCCAACAACACGTTACAAGCAAGTTGCGAAAAAATCGCAGCGTCATAGCCAACAACACGTTACAAGCAAGTTGCGAAAGCAAGTTCAGAGTGTAGATGTGCAAATGCAAAGGACAAAACATCTTGGAAAGAATAATATGCAAGTGAAGACTCGATCAGGAAAGGCACGGAAAGATCCTCAGAAACTTGATAAGAACAAATTGATGGAGAAAGAGAAAGAGTTAGAGAATATTGAATCAGAAAATGGAGATTATGAGGAAGATTTTATAGAGTCTGACAATGAGGTGATAAGGGAAGATGAAGAGAGAGAGGTCAATGTAAATGAGGAGATAAGAGAAGATGAACAGAGAGAGGTCGACGAAGACGAAGATGAAGAGATAAGGGAAGATGAACAAAGAGAGGTACAACAGCCCAAAAATCATAGAGGGCCAACTAAGTGTTTAAAAGTACATGGACGAGGCATAGAGGCACGTCCAGTTGTAATTTTAGACAAATTTGGGGTAACTATTGGACCGACAGACAATATCTTAAATGAACTTAGTAGTTTTCTGGGTACCCTTGGAAGAAATCCAAGACGAACACCACTAGATAAGAATTGGCATGACATTGGGGAAGAAGACAAAGATAGTTTGTGGGAATATGTGAAGGTATGATATAGCACAAAAAAATCATTTTGTGTAATGACAAGGTAGATTTTAACTTGTATGTTGTTATGTCATTGTAGGAGAAGTATTCAATTGCCGATTCAGGACGAAAATGGACCTTGCAAACAATTAATAGTGCATGGAGGCGGTGGAAGTGCTTGTTGAAACGTCAATGCTTTACTAGTTTGAAAAATGATGGAGAAAGATGGAAAAAGCGCCCCAATACTGTTCCCAAGGGTCAATTTAGAGCTTTACTAAAGATTTGGCATTCTCAAAATGCAAGGGTAAGAATTTAATTTTCTATTAATATCATTGTTTTGTTTCTCAAATTGCAAGGGTAGAAATATTTAATTTATTGTTTCAGTTTCAAACACAATGTTAAGAAAATGATTAGTGGGATATTACGTTTAGCCATTAATCATCCAAAGTTAAGGGTGGTCATATTACGTTTAGCCATTAAAAAGCAATGGAATCAGGATATACATGTTTGCTATATCCACTCCCAAACAGTAATTTTGAGAGTTAGATTGCCGAAAATGCCTTTTTGATGTTGAGGGTGTTCACTAATCATCCAAAGTTAAGGGTGGTCATATTACGTTTAGCCATTAAAAAGCAATGGAATCAGGATATACATGTTTGCTATATCCACTCCCAAACAGTAATTTTGAGAGTTAGATTGCCGAAAATGCCTTTTTGATGTTGAGGGTGTTTCTGGAATGGACTTGGCCTGTTTTGGTTTGGGAGAAGGACAATTTAGTCCTCACACACCCCCAAAGTTACTGTTTAGGAGTGCGAATAATTAGACCCCAGGATATATTCACGCAACACACAGATGGTCCTATTGCATAAAAACCCAAAAGCCCCTTGATCCATAATTCGCTCGAGCTTGAAGTTGACATTGAATACAAATACTCGTTGAGTTCTTGTAGGTATTAAAGATTTTTATATTGACAATTGGAATACTTAAATGCAACTTACTTATACGATTCTCATGTGATCAAGTCATGCTGACTTATTAAACATCATGTTGTGTTGATGCAATATGGTTGGCTTTAACAGTTGTGGTTGCTCTCTAAACTAACATGCTTAGGTCTTTGAGTACAGCTACTCATGAATACATAATTTATTATGATTTGCCAAAGCATCATAATTTTGTACACCAAAAACATTATTTAATCTAGGCAAATTGTTGAATTCCCAACTAGTGGATTTATAGCTCCATATAAGTCAATTAGATAAGATCATTTTCCAAGGATGCACTATGAAACAAGTATTTACTGTCACCTTTATTACAGGTAATTACGATATTCTATGTAAAGAACTTAAAAATTATTGATCTCCTTTTTTTTCTGCAGAGATAGATATTTATATGGGTAATTATGAATTAATCTTCTGCTTGTACCAAATTAACAATATCCATTGGAATTTGTTTTTATATCTTAACCTGCAAAGCTGCAAACATGACATGAATCAGTTCTATTGCTAAAGTTCCAATCACTTGCCTGCTCTTTGCCTCCACTTCCATCTCGATCTCCTTAGTATTTTTTTTTTTTTTCATTTTTTTTTGTCATCAAGTGTTCAACTCTATACTATATAAGCAGACAATGAGTAGATGTATGCAAGTTTATTCTAGGAGGGTGTTTGGGAAGACTTGTTTTTTGAAACTTATAAGTTATGTTGGCTTTTAGTTACTTTTAGCTTTTATGATAAAAATGCTATAACATTGTTTGGGTAGAAATGCAATTTATTTGATCAAACCTAACTTATAGAAGTGAGCTTATAAGGTAGTTTTTTAAAAGCTGGGGTACGCCAACTATTGAAAATGACACTTATAAGCTAACTTATTTATTACTTTAACAAACAGGTAGAAAAGAAAAAGCTAGCTTAAAAACTAGTTTGATCAAAAAATAAGCCTCCCCGAACACTCTCTTAGTTTTGCTCAATGCTAAACACAGGACTGCCAAATTTTAATCATACTTTTATTGATCATTACAAATTGAAGACACTCTACCTAAACCAAAATAAACCTTCAAGCCCTAGGAGGAGGATGCATTTACATGAACATGGCCTACAATCATAAGAGGAAGTTTGAAGCATCAAATGCATCAAAAGTCACACCGAGCTCTGACGAAGAGTGCATCAGGAAATCGACGTCCATCATCGGAGAACTGTTCGCGGATGTCATTGCAGAGAGGGTCTCAGTGAAGTCGATGATGGGCGTGGATGGGAATGAGAAGGATGATGAATGTGTCGGCGCTGGAACTTTGTAGTTCAGGTTGTCACTTTTAACCTTGAGGCTCGTCTGCGGTGATGACGTCCGCTGGCAAGTGTGGGATCCTCTGTAAGTGACTTCGAAGATCGTTGGATTGTCGTCGGATTGTTGAACCTGCTTCGTTGCCAGGCAGCCCTGAGACTGGCGGTGACTGCACCTGAAGTATCCTCTGCAGGAATTTGAGGTAGTATGTTAATAATTTTACTATGACGATTTCTCATGCACCTTGACATGTTTTTATCCTTACAGTATCAGGCTGTACTCAAATTGAGACTTTTGCGTGTGTGTGTGGGTGGTTTAAAGAACAGTTGATTTCTGCCTTAATGGATGAAGAACGAGAAAAAAATGATTTATGTGCATTACATTAATAATGCATCGGGTGACTGTCTATCATTGAATAAATATAGTATAAATAATAATGTTGGAGACTAATACATCATTAATGTAAGGAAAATTTATCAATGGATAAATATTGTATATATCTTTATCTTCATTTTGCCACAAGCTTAGCCATAGAAATATCTGATATGTGTTCTAGTTTGCGTTACTAACCTTGGGTGTTTAGTTCTAAGGATCTCCTTCTGTCCATATTTCCTCCAGCTAAACCCATCATCCAATGGCCCTTCTGCTTCTGGCCCTGATCCCAACTTAACCTGCCGACTCGTCCCTTTTCTCTGCATTTTCCTGGGGGGAAAAAAACCAAAAACTAATTACAGACTGATCTCCATTTTCATAAACTATTTTTACCAAATTTGAACATCAATATAAGGGTTATAAAAGAATATAGCTAGTTATCATTCATGTTCTACTTTTTTTTATTTACTACATGCATCTTCCGGTCACGGTGACAATGTTACTTTTCCGTTTGTTTTTAAACTTATATGAGGATCACAAGCTGGCTAGAATCAGACATTTCTGCAAGACATTTACACGTCATTCCCGCTGTAGTTTAAAAACTAAGGAAGAAAAGCAAATGTTAGAATTAATATAAAACTATGATCATTAATCCTCACCATAACTTCGGAGTTTTGGTGTAATGGTTAGAAGATTTAAATTTAAGATGATATACCATCTTAAATTGGTATACCATCTTAAATTTAGTTCCTCTAACCATTAGACCAAAACTCCAAAGTTATGGTGAGGATCAATGATCATAATTTTATATTAATTCTAACATGCCCCCGCAAGTTCAATGTCCTTTTTATGGATCGAAACCTGGACTCACGCGGCGGTGTTAATTTGTGGCCGGTGGGATTTGAACCTGGGTTGCTCTGATATCATCTTAAATTTAGTTCCTCTAATCATTACACCAAAACTCCGAAGTTATGATGAGGATCAATGACCGTTTTATATTAATTCTAACAGCAAATAAAATAGAACAAGAGCGCGACAAAAATAGCCAAATCCTAAACATAACCATACCTCTTCTTCGATGCCATCTCCTTGTGCTCAGCTTTAAATGGCTGCTCTGAAACCCCATGTTGTGGACTTAGGGTAAACAACCGAGGGGAGCCTGTAGGAGCATTTGCTTTGGCCATGGCCATGACGTTCTCAAAACAATCAAGTATATCCTGTACAAGCGACGCGCATAACTCAATTGAATCTAGGTTGAGCTTGGCATCAAGCTCCCTAACTAGCTTATATCCACGAGCCAACTCATTCAATAGCATATTCATGCTCTTCACCATTTTCGCCTTTTCCGTCAGTAGAAGCCTAGCAAGAAGGAGATTGTGCTCAGCTTTAAATGGCTGCTCTGAAACCCCATGTTGTGGACTTAGGGTAAACAACCGAGGGGAGTCTGTAGGAGCATTTGCTTTGGCCATGGACATGACGTTCTCAAAACAATCAAGTATATCCTGTACAAGCGACGCGCATAACTCAATTGAATCTAGGTTGAGCTTGGCATCAAGCTCCCTAACCAGCTTATATCCACGACCCAACTCATTCAATAGCATATTCATGCTCTTCACCATTTTCGCCTTTTCCGTCAGTAGAAGCCTAGCAAGAAGGAGAGAGTATCAGTCCATCGATCGTACTACAACAGTTATTATATATGTCTGATTCTTCTGAAGAGACTGATATATAGAAGGGAGGAGAGGAGAAGAGAGAGTTTGTCGTAGGAGAGTGAGTTCAAATGATCGCAAAGGGGGGCATGTGGTTTTATAAAAGGGGTTTGTGATTGTGGGGCTAGCGTGGGGATTAAGATTAAGCTTCTTCTAACAAAAAAAATTAAATGAGAGGTTGGACTAGTCTCTGGTCAGAAGATGTATAGAGATGAGAGATGAAGAGCTAGAGATGCGGTTGCTGACCAGTTCTTCTCTTATCACGTTCCCTAAGATTTTTATGGTGGATGTGTTTGTTTAGTTTAGAAGATAAATAAATAGATGGATTATTAAATAACAAATGGAGATTAATTAATTAGAGAGGGAGGTTAAACGGACTAAGAATATTCTAAGTAGAGGGGTGAGGTCAGCAGTTGCCCCTTCGCTTACGTTTTTGATTAGTCATTAGAGATTTGAAGCCACATGTAATAGAAAAGGGCATGGGTGGCTCAAGGGAAAAGACGTCAAGGGAGAGGCTGTTAATGAAGAGGAAATATGTGATGGATTAACAAAATGATCAGCTGTCAAGCAACAAAAATGCTGAGATTTCCATATGCTTAGATTCGGCTAACAGGATAAACCTCTCTATTACGTTATCTCTTGGTAGCTCATCATAATGTAAAATTTATTATCGTCTTCTTAAACTCGATTCTTTTTCAAGAAAAAAGATATAATTGTTTGTTTCTTCAATTCTTTTCTCCCTTCTTCTATGTTGGTGATAGTATAAAATTGTATAACCCTCAATATTCACCATAACTTTTAAAGTTTTTATATGCTGACAGAATCCTTTGACATTATAGGATAGTAACCCGAGTTTTATTCTCACAGTCTATAATTTTGAAGTGAATTTTAGAAAATGATACTGCTAAGTAAGTCCCGGTTTTAACATATACGAAAGGCATTCAACCTGTGAGGCTATGTTAGAACATTAAATTACAGTATCATCGCAGTTTCAAGGTTTCGGTATGGTGACAATGTCATTTGACAATTTTGTGTTACTTGTGTCTCTCGACTTCCTTCGAGAATAACTTGTAATTATTTCTGGCCCGATGTTAAGAAGTTGCCAAACACCGCGCCAAGGCTGTCTTTGCCAACCAATTAGAAATTAGATTGGATCGAAGAAGGATAAACAAGCTTTAGAACTAGCTCGACGGATATTTTTGGACCTGAGAAATATATCACAAATACTACCGATCCGGTTCCTATCAAAGACAACCTCTTCAAAATGCAGTCAGGATAAAATTTTGAGCGAGCAAAACACATAATCTAATTCAGTGAATGTGTGTTCACAAAAATTTCAGCTGCTAGCGAAATGTCACGTCAAAATCTTGGTCATGTTGTACTGGAACCGTCTTTCGCGGGGCAAAGCGATGTATAAGGCGATTTGGCATCATTTTGTTCTCAGATGAGACTAACTGAGAACAGACTAACAAATAATGAGGTGCACACTTTCACCTAATTGTTAACCAAAACTCACAACAGTTGCTGAACATATATTTTACTGTGCATGCAATAAATTGGTTGTAGGATCTTGATCCAAAGTCCATTGGCTTGGACTTTTGAATGTGCTTAGCTACAACAATATCTCCATATTGATGGTTGGATTTGCTATTAAACTCACCATAATTCTATTTTAAACTATAATTAAGTTGGGTTTCAAATAAATCCCAATTAGAATACATGTTTAAAAGTAAATTTAACAAACATTAAGCACAAAAGATGTCTAAAATTCGCTTGTGAGTATCACGTGGAAAAAATTTGGGGGACAATTCTCACGTACAGTTGCATAACAAAAGGTATTGAAGTGCGATTTTTAGAAACTTTAGTGTACATAAGTGCTGCCAGCCAAAAACAAGAGAGAATATATAAGTGCAAAAGTAGGGAAACTATAAATTTAGCCTAAAATGAATCCACCAAATGCTCATGCATGTCATAAACAAAAGGATCAAATCCAAACTCACAACTAGAACAAACATCATCTCTCAACACCCCTAGAACTGAGAAAATCTCACTACTCTCAGGATGACTCCTGTCCTCAACACAGAAAACATGAACCCTGTCCTTAGCCTCAATCCAACTACACCCGGGATCCTTCTTCACTCTCAATCCCCTCAATTTCTCTCTAACTTCCCTCACTTTTTCCCATCTCCCAACCCTAGCATAGATATTAGACAAAATCACATAAACAGACACATGCATTGAGTCCATACCCAGCATCCTCTCAGCTACCCGCTCACCCACTTCCAAATCCATACAAAACCAACATGCATTCAATAGAGTCCCCCACACAACACTGTCAGCCTCTATAGGCATTTTGAGCACAATTTGCTCGGCTTCTTGAATTCGCCCTGATCGACCAAGAACATCGACGATGCAAGCATAATGTTCAACTGTAGGATTCAATCCGTAGTCTTTCTGCATCGAGTTAAAGTACATAATTCCTTCATCTACCTTGCCCTCTTTCGCACAGGCTAAGAGTATACCAGTGAATGTAACTGTATTTGGATCGATTTGGTGCTTTAGCATTGCTTCGAACTCTAGTATTGCTTCGATGCCAAGCCCGTTATGAGCAAGCCCATTTATAAGTGCGGTCCATGATGCCACATTGGGCGAGATAATACCACGAAATGCTAGCTTAGAATCATCAATGCTTCCACATTTGGCATACATATCTACAAGAGAAGTTCCCACGAAGACATTGGATGCAAATGGTGTTTTGATTAGTTGTGCATGAATCATTCTCCCTTGAGAGACTGTTCCCATGCTTGCACAAGCTCGAAATAGAGCAGAGAATGTCGATCTGCTACATACAATTGAGGATCTTTGCATGACTGCATATAGTTTTATGGCCTCGGTAGGTTGCTCGTTTTGTACATAGCCTGAAATCATCGAATTCCATGTCACAGTGTTATTCTCCTCTTTGACAAATTCGAATAGTTTCAGAGCCTTATCAAACATGCCAGCTTTATGGTAAACCGATATCATGGTGTTGTACGAGACTATATTCTTGCAAGGCATTCTATCGAACAAAGCGATGGATTCTTGAATCCTTCCATTATCGGCGTACCCTTTGATCATTAGATTGTATGAAACAGGGTTTTTCTCCTCCAATTGATTGAAAATGAACTCAGCTTCGCGAATATTTCCAACGTCAACAAGACTTCCTATCATCAAATTGCAAGTATTTAAACAAGGGTTTTTATCCAGTTGATCAAAAACCCTCTTGGTATCGTCCAAATACCCAAGTTTACAGTAGAATTCAACGAGAGCTCCACTAATCGAATCATCATGCTCCAACCCCAACCTTATCAAACACCCATGAATCATTCTCCCAAAATCTACAGCTTCTAATTTCACACAAGCTCTCAGCACACTATCATAAGTGAATTCATTCGGTTTCACATCACCATTACTTGTCATCGAAACAAACAACTCTAGAGCCTTTCTACGCTGCACATCATCATCATTCTGAGCACAACCCGAGATCAAAGAAGTCCATGAGTAAACATCACGACTACTAACATTCATTTTATCAAACAAATCAAGTGCTTCATCCAACATCCTACTCTTGACAAAACCCACCACCATCAAACTCCACAATAACGGATTCCTACAATGCAACAGCTCAAAGAGACGATATGCATTCGATATATCGAAGCAAGAAGTGTACAAATTGAGCAATGAGCTTCCGACCAATGAGAAGCCTTCGAAGCCCGATTTGAGAATGAGGGAGTGTATTTGCTTGCCAAGGTCGAAAGAGGAGGAGCGAGAGCAAGCGCTGAGGAGTGAAGTGAAGGTGGTCTCATTAAGTTTTGTATTTGAGCTGTGCATTTGGGTGAGGAGTGTTAAGGGTTCTTGGGTTTGGCCACATTTGTTGTAGCCTGAGATTATTGCGTTGTAGGAGACTGTTGTTAGTTGAGGCATTTCATCGAACAGTTTTCGGGCGGCGTTCAGATTGCCGGAGTTCATGAGGTTGGTGAGTTTGATGTTAAAGGAAATTGAGGAGGGTTGGCTAAGAGTATGGAGGAATTTGGTAACATACAATGGAGGTCGGGGTCTAAGGATCATGTCTGAAAAATCAAAGAAAAGAAATGGAAAAAAAGGGGTCAATAGTTTTGGGTTTTAACTGAATTCCCTGTGGGTTTTTACCCACATATCCCCCACACATTAACCATATTTGCAAATTGCCCCCAAGTCATGTTTTAACTCATTCAAAACTGTATTTAGCAAATGTTCAGCAATCTTCATGGCGTGACATAAGACATTGCCAAAGAATCACAATGTACAGATATCATCTGATGTTTACGATCAACAAAAAGGTTATATTGTCTAACCTGTATTACAAGGTCTTAAACTCACTCCCATGATTCCAAGTTATAGATACTGAACATAATAGAAGCCTACATCGCGAGTATGAAATTTCTCAGCTTAAATTCTAAAGTTACAGTTCTTGTTGCCAAGGAGACAAAAATATTTTGAAACTTCACAGAAGATCAAAGAAATAATCTAGACCCTGTCCAATTTCCCATATCGAAAGGCCAGCTCCCCACGCCTTAGCTTCATCCAATCTCATAGATATCGACATCAGTGAGGGATAAAACACAGCATGGTTCACGTTTTTACTTGAATAGATGAAGAAGTGCTCCGCACTTTTCTCTTCCCATCTCAGATACGGTCTGTGAGTCTCGAGCAACGATGTATAATCTCTACCAGTGATAGCACCACCTCCAGAGCCTGCACGGTGAATTTTAACGATGTAAGTTTGTATTTCCACATCAACTTTCAATGAGCGCATTAGCTTGGGGGTCGTTACATAGGTCATAATAAATGGAAGAGCAGCAAAGAAAGATCACGGCATGACACTGCGAATGCACTTATGACCACCCTAAGTTTGGTATTCGAGCTTGATCATAACCTGAAATCATTGTGAGTGATTCTACATTGTAGTGATTCACATACCTTCTGAAAGGACAAAGTCATTTCCGTAGAAGTTGATGCCAACAAAAATTTTGTGAGCATGAGCATGAGCTCCCCCGTCAGTATCACCACCGAGAAGCAATTGAAGGGAAGACCGAATCCATGCCAGGGGAGCATTTGGACCGGGATTCTGAGGCCCTGAGAAATCATAGGTCATTAAAGAGAAGCCATCCACATAATCACTCAGCTGCTGGAGATCTCGTGGTCCAAAATCATAATCTGCAAGATTCGGAGAACGTGGTGGAGGGATGACAAAAATCAGCTCCAGATAATGATTTGCATTTCTAACCGACTCCTCTGAACGCAAAGCTTTCCCCAATTCTTTAATGAACTGTAGGGCCTATACATTCCAACACAAAAAAGGGGCCCAGAAGCTAAGTAGAAAGTTATTTCTTGATTAAATAAAAGAATCCAATTGAGATTATTTATGTAGCTTAATTACAAAAAAAGTCTGATTTGATGAGTTGTAATTGGTTCATAAAGTTGTCAATGTCAATATAATAAAGGATGTTGATAAAGGCTTTTATACATATTCTGCCGGGCTTCTTCCTCTTCATGCTTATTAATGTTGCTATTCCATCTTTCCACTACCAATTTTCCATTAATGAGTAATGAAAACTTAATTAAGAGTGTTCAGTTCTAAAAGGCTATATTAGTTAATTTTTCTGGAGCAACTGTCATAAAAGTTCAAGGTTCATATCCTTCAGTTGATATTTAGGAGTCTCCAAAATTTTCTTGCTTGCTTAATTTCAGTGTCAGGTTACATCATTAAAGCCACACATACATGCAATTTGGTTAAAGACCCTGAATCCATAATATTAGTGCTTTCCTGCTCTTCTACTAGTTGATTCAAAGTGTTTTCTCTAATCAGGGATTTGACCAACAGTGTAGTCAAATGGTGAACTGGAAACACCAAATCCTCGGTAAAATGGGTTCAAATGAGATAGGTTTGGGTCGGATTTGGGGTCAACCCTATCTCAACCAAAGCTCTTAAATCCCAATATAAGCTAAAACCAAACCCCATTCTTGGATTAGGAAATAACCCATCCTAGCTTGAGTTGGATCTGAGTTTTATTCTGTTTGCTAGGATTGGGTTGATAAAAAGACATGCTCACTTTTATTGTGCAAGCATAAAAGGGAAAGTAAGAGTTCTACTAATAAAATAACATGAGAGCAACATGAAGCCTGTTAGTTTGCAATCTAAGATTAGATCATAAATGACAACCATGAAAATTAACTAAACAGTCTAATTTTTTTAATCATTCATGATTTTTATATATATTATATATATATATATATATATATATATATATATATATATATATATGTATATATATATATATATATATATGAGCAAATATGAGTATCTTGGTACAAGCCACAAAAAGTTGCTGGGATTGGTAGGATGTGCACATCCCCTCCACTCATTCAAATATGGGACCACATTCACATGGGTTACGTGGGTGGATGAGGATGTGACACATCACTACAAGCCACAAAATTTTGCTTGTACCAAGCATACCCATTTCTCTCTCTCTCCATTCTCTCTCTCTCTCTCTTTCTCTCTCTATATACTTATATATATATATATATATATTATATATATATTATATATATATCATGATTAAAAAAATAGTGGCACCAACAGGTATGGTGCTCACCTACACACACTGCCACAAACATAAGGGGGACCATGAGAATCATGATAGATAAGTTTCTTGACACAAGGTAGAAGGACTTCAAGATTGTAGAAAAAATGAAGTTCATGCATATTATGACGAATTTGAGAGAGATAATCAGCCACAAAATTACTTTTCCTGTAAGAGTGAAAAACAGAGCCACTCAGCTGCCAAATCTCAGTTTGTTAACAAACAAAGATAAAAAATACCATAAAACTAGACAAATCTCAGTAGATTCAGGTTGGTTTAGATCTTGTCCGGGTTAAGCCAGATTCAGTTTGGATACTGATTATAGCAGTACGGCAAGGATTCCAAAAATTAGCTCATACAAAAGTAAGATAATAAGGCATTATAACTACTACTGGAAAAAGGCAATTCACGTTCAAACATCATTCTTTTATTTAGTAATGATTTCTCTAAGCGAAAAGTATATAGAAATTAGAAAGTAAGTGAGATAGTAACAAAGAAAGTAATTTATTTAGTAATGATTTCTCTAAGCGAAAAGTATATAGAAATTAGAAAGTAAGTGAGATAGTAACTGGCTTTTCAAGGAGAAAGCTGCTTACATTATTCTATATGCTGATGAACAAAGAAAAAGAACTGCCAACAAAGTGAAATTTGAGAAAAGAAAACAATCATCTGAAGAAAACATACTCAGAATAGGAAATCAGATAACTAATATAATGCTTTATTCTTAGACCAATTCTAAGTTTTTTCAATGGTTCAAGACAAAAGCAAAGCAAAGGTTTCATTTAGTATTTACCATGGCACGCAAGTCCGGGTCATGTAGTACACCATATCCCGCCCACCTTGACCACGATTCCAGAACAATGCCATCATATCCCATTTCCCTAACAACTGGCAGACAGATGTCAAACTGAATTTTCTATTTAGAGGTGTCTGCCTAGTTCAAATATAGTTAAGAGGATTGATCACAGAACAATAACTTACTTGCATTCAGTAACAATGATATCAATTGCTTTACTTCTCTGTTTTTTGCTTTGAAGCAGCCCAGCAGGAAAAGCTTCTAAGACAACTCTTGGTAAAACCTGCATGAATATATGTTAAAATAATGAAGTAGCAATTTTGTTTAGATTATCTTGGAAAAAAATATCAGATTATGCAACTCTTAATTACAATATTGGTATGATTACAAAGTACAGAAAGGAAGGGCAAGTAGTAAATAAATACTAAGATCTATATTTCGTTAAAAATTTGAGATCAGCATAGAACAAATTTCTCAAATTGGCATCCAGTATGACTAGCCGCATGGCTCTTATATATTAATAGTACGTAAGGAAAATATCTAATAAGCGAAGTAATCCAGAGTATTCAATAAGCACTTGAAATTCTCTGTAGTGAGATATACCATCGAGGGGGCGTTCCTCCTAAGTTCTGAAATCCAGTCCATGTCAGCATTATGCCGGCCATCCAGAACCAAGTTCTTTCCCTCACTGGACAAAGGCAAACTAATGAGAAGTATTCTTAAGAGTACTTGACTTCAATTTATTAACAAAGCCGCATACCTTTTCAGATCATACCACACAGGTGACAGATGAGTAAATTTGGACGTGAATAGTTTGGCCATATCATAACCTTTTGAATTCCTGCTATCATATACATCCTCTTGAGAAGTTTCATAAAGAAATATAGTTGTTACTACCCAAATTAGCTTTTAGATGAATTCGTCTGGGCAGCTGTGAACCAACAACAGAGTTTGGTTTATTGCTAGCATAACAGAGAGAAGAATTGTTTATACATAACTACTGGGTAGCAGGATAAGACTCCAATAAATTTCTTAGGTGATACAACATGCAGAAGTTACAACATGCAAGAATAAGAATAAAAACCATTGATGTTAAGGGGCTGTTTGGTTCGTTTTTTAACTCGGTGGAAAAGTTTTACACCGCCTCCACATCAGATTTTTCGTGGCCACGTAGGATATAAGCTTTCCGTCGGTTTTTTTCCTCATCTTTAGTTCGCTAGGGTTGAATAAGGGAAACTCGGTGAAAATCGCCGCCACATTAGATTTTTTTCTCTCCCCCAATTCCTTCATCAACCTCGTGAAATCGACGAAAACTGCAGCCACGTCAGCTTTTTACCATATAAACAAAAGTTTTCCCTTTTTTTCATGCGAACCAAACACAAGAAAAATAAATACATTGGTTTCTCACCATTTTTTTTGTGCGAACCAAAGCGAAACAATCTATTTCTTGGAAAAGTTTGGAAAACTCAAAACTTGTGTTTTTGTACATGGAAATACATTTCCCTGTATTTAGGAAACGAACCAAACAGCCCCTAATTAAAAAAAATGAGAAACGTTGACAAACTTAGAAGGGAGATAATATTAAGGACAATAGCATGCAAGTGGTTAGTTTGTTTCTTAATCAGTACACCTCAATAACAGATATTCATGTTAAGTAGGTGCTCAAATAGAAACATATGCATTATTACTTAACAACTATTCATTCAACACGAACAGGTTCTTTTAAACTGCTGCGACAATAATCATCATAAATCCTTTACTGCCAGCTGAAAATCTGATACTCTAATAATCTACTAAACTGTTGGATTTAAAAAAAAAAACTTTTCTTTCATTCTTCGGTTTTAAGCTCAGACAAAGCTCCAAGTAACAAAAAAATTAAAAATTAATAATTAAAAAAGCCACTAAAATACATGAACTTATATTGGAATCGGGAGAAAAAAAAACCATACCAGGGAGTGACATAAGCCAGCACTGGATTCGGAAAATGCCGATGGGTCCTGTTCTCCGCTACCTTTGCATTCTCCTAAAAATTAGAAAATAATAAACCACAGTCAAAACCCCAATTAAAAACAGAGAAATTTTATTCTAAAAAATAAAGCTAGGGTTTCGAATTACGCGGATGATTTCTTTGTAATCAACTCTGGGCTTGACAAGTTCCCTATCGAATACCGAAAGGATCGGCGAACTGTGGGAGCTAGGGTACAGCGCGATCGACGCACCGAGAACGAGGAGGACGAATACGATGAAGATCAAGTACGAGGAGAGGGAGCGACCATTAGAAGCAGGGATTCTAGGGTCTCGAACCGCGCGGTCCGAGTTCGCGGCGGCGGCGGAAGGCCGGCGATCTCGCCTCCGAGGTGCCATCTTGGGGTTTGATGAGGTAAAGATCGGAACTTGGTAACGTTCAGATCGGTAAATGGGTTGATAAATCCTCTGGTGTACCACTATTGACTATTGGTCCTCAAGTTGAAGTTATAAGCCATGATCGCTTACTAAAAATGCACCCTAGTAATCGTCGCGAAAGGCGAGGAATCAATTTGGGCAAATTTCACGTGTTAGAGAAGATGAATTATGTGAGCCTGAGTTTTTAGTTTGCACGATTTAAGTCGTCATAAAACGTGCTAATTACACGTAACTGAGGGGCACAATCTGAAATTCCAATACGAAGAACCTACAGATGTGATTTTATTTAACTAAAGGGGCCAAATTGTAATGACACTTACGATGCAGGGGCTAATATAAAAACCGTGGAAGCTTTGGGGGATCGGTCTGAGAGTCTGAACTTCTCGGGCTTCAATTTCGCCCCGCGATGCGAGTCTCAGCCCATTCGTTTTATCCAAAATTCCAGATAAAGCCCTTAATCGCTTTGTTTTTTCTGTGGCTTACATTCTAAACCCCTAAACTCTCTCTCTCTCTCTCTCTTCTCTCTCGAGGTTGAGGGATCAATCTTCAGAATCCTCCGTCGATCTCTCAGGCCCAGTCCCATGCCCGCTCTCCAAGCCTCTCTCCTCTGCCGCCCTCCCCTCTCTCTCTTCTCCCCTCCCAAACCCCCCATTCCCCCCAACCCGACCCTCTGTTCCCGCCTCCGCTCTCGCCGCCGCCTCTCCCTTCTCCTCTTCTCCCCCGCTCTCTCTCAAAACTTCTCCGATCAAGATCCGGTAGAGAGATACCGTCGGCCGAGGTCTCGTCTTGCGGCGGCGCGGCGGAGGCGGCGGCGGAGGAGGAGGCCGGCGGTAAACACTAAGGAGAGGAGGTGGTGTGGTGTTCTTGATTGGGGCTTGGGAGAGGGTTAGGAGAGGGTTTGATTGGGTGATGGGATCCGAGTGGATGAGGTGGTGACCGTTGTGGAGGAAGGAGAAGAGGTTGGAGATGTTGATGGCCGAGGCCGATGCTAACCCTAGGGACGCTGCTAAGCAGAGCGCGCTGCTTGCCGAGCTCAATAAGCACAGGTCTGGGTCCTTTGTTTCCTTACAATTATGCAGAATTTAGTAGACACAACGCAATGTTATGCTGACTGGAACAGCGCATTATGTTTGACGCATCCAATTGGTTGTAACTGCGTGTTTCGGAACTAAAGCCTGACTACTTGCTACGGTTGCAAGCATTGTGTTGTGTTTGAAACCCCTTATTGGCTTTAAGTGAGTTTTTTCAGGACTGAAGCTTGCAACTTGCTACGGTTACAAGCACTGCATTGTGTTTGAAAACACCTAACCGGATGTGAGTGGGTGTTTCAGAACTGACGCTTACAACTTCCTAAGGTTGGAAGCATGAAACGTGGAATTAAACCTTTAGATGGCAAACGTTGGTTAGTGACATTACTAGATTTAACATTTTAAGCACAGGTTTGGTCGTTTGCTTTTATAGTTTCACGGTTTAGCAGACAAAAGTGAGATAGTATGGTATGCTCGATCCACCTAATTGTATGCACGTAAAAAAAATATAAGATTATATGCATAAAAGATAAGTCTTAAGACATAGATTAATGACCTTAGATCACGTGTCAGCTTGGAACTCAAAACTCAGAAGCATGTCTATGAGGGATGTCTTACTGATCGAGCCTGTAAAGCATATCCAAAGCCTGTTCTTTGGGATATTGCTTAATTGCTTCACATCAATGGTTAACACATTGCTTTGGCGTGAACATAATTACCATTGCCAAATCTGTTGCAATATGATGGCACAATTTAACAATACTTTATACCTAGATGCTACAGTGAGTCGGTGACTGTACAAGGTTAATTATTCTGAGTGCAATAACATCTAGCATGACACACTCATTTTCCTTATGGCATCTAAATATGATTATAAAGTTGAGTCTTAATCCATTTTTGCAGTCCGGAATCTGTTATTAGACGATTTGAAGAAAGGAGTCATGCAATTGACAGTAAAGGAGTTGCAGAATATCTTCGAGCTCTAGTTGTCACTAATGCAATTGAAGAATACCTTCCAGATGAGCGTTTGGGCAAACCTTCGAGTCTTCCAACACTGGTAGTGTTAAGCCTCCATGTTCTTTTAAATAACATCATTTCACATGCTTGATTAGAATCATAAGGATTCATGTTAGCAGTATCTCTCTCTTTCTTCTGTTTTTTCTTGTTAATATATTGTTGGCACAATACGTATATCCATTGTTATTATACTTGGACATTTGACATTATTTTCTTTGTAACTTGTTTAACTTTCTGTTTCATATCAATTGTTATATGTCTGGATATTTCACATCATTTGCTTTTTTTTCCCTCATTTAATTTTTAAAATTTTTTTGAATTCTCGTTGTTTGCATTACTTTTGGGGGGGAAAAGGCGGGAATCAGTTCATTCGTGGAAGCTCATGAAGACAGTAGTTTAACTCATTATGAATCTATGATATATGTCATATAGATATAAAACCATCCTTACTTTTTCTATGAAAACACAACATACAAGTTATCCATAATGAAAACAAACACTTCCTGCTAATTGAAAAATGAAGGTACAAGAAAGTCAGCTAATTATACATTTCATGGTCAACAAATATGTATGTGTTGTAGTTTTAGTTGTGCAATGTGAATATGGTGTTCCACTATAGGATCCAAGGAGATGCAACGTTTTATGATGTTAAATGAAATAGAAGTTACGTTGTATAAAAGTTGATGTTCAAGTACTTTGCCGATGGTGTTTTAGTGTTTCATCGTGTAATATTTAGGTGTATCAACTGGGAACATGGATCTAATCATAAAAAACTCAGATATCTATGTACCGTTATAAACTCAGATATCTGTATATTACTGTTTTATCTTGTTTTACGATGTAGAAATGTGCTACTGGTTATAAGTTAATTTTTTCAAAGAGCTGGGTAATTGTTTAGAAGCTGATACTAAAGCAATATGCCAAAAATGCTGTTGTGTTGCATGTGTTTTTCAGTTTGGACTTTCACCAGTTGGAGATGAAGATATGAGAATTTAAATTCTATGTTTTCAACTATTAATTGTGACATGTTATGTGACAAATTACTATATTTCTATGTGCTCAAATTTTGAATCATATGTAAGCTACTTTCACTGTTGAGAAGTTGACACCTGGAATAAATGCCTCTAGGCCTTATTGCATTGTGTGTCATGTTTAGGGAAGGTTCTCCATTGTCTTCAAGTCTCTTCCTTCTTTCTACATGATCTTAGTTGCTATTCTCTTGATTAAAAGATGAAGTCACCAAGATTGCCAATTTTGGATGCTTGCTCGCAGTCATTTAATTTACAAGATCAAGTCTTTCTTTGCATATTGTCAAAGATAAAGATCAATAGTTGCATATCTCTTGCATATTGCACATTTTAATAGTAAGAAGAACGCACTGTTAGGTAAAATTCAATTTCTTGGGATTATTTTCTTTCCAGAGCTAACAGCATGAAGTTTCTTTGTTATTTACTTCAATTTTATTGGTATTGAATTGATAATTTATATCAGCTTAATTCGGAACTTTGAAGATAATTTATACTAACTTAATTCGGAATGCTAAAGCCTACAGTTTTGTGTGTGCAAAAATAGTTTCTGCATGATAAGAACGGTCATTTTCAAGCAGACGGAACTTGTAAAAACTCCAAGCTTGTTGCATCAGTATTTGTTTCACAATGATTAACAAATTATTAATAATTAACAAATTATACATTATCTTAACTCTTTGCAGTACCCGTAACATATGCTTTGTTTCTGTACCTGCTTTACATTTTTCTCTAGTTATGAGGGTTTATAGCTTCTTGTTTATTCTTGCAGTATTTTTTACTTCTGCTAAACCAATTTTCATGTCAGTAGCTGCAAGAGTTGGAGCAACGTGCATCTGGAAATGATGATGAGGCATTCTTAAATCCCGGAATATCCGATAAGAAGCCATTACATGTGGTTATGGTAAGTCAACTGTCTGCTCTCCCCTCCCTTTAGAATATGCAAAAAGTATAATTTATTTTTCCATTCTCCATTCTATTTCTTTTGTTCATGCTAAGTAAGGACCCTTCATTCTTTGGTTTTACTCATCAGGTAGATCCCAAAGCATCAAATAGATCGACTCGTTTTGCTCAAGAACTCTTTTCAACCATCTTATTTACCGTTGTTGTGGGCCTAATGTGGTATGTTTAGTTTAATATATTTTCTAATGTACTTGCGTTTAATTTTTTTACTTTATGTTATTCTCAAATGACAATATTTGGCATACAGCAATGTAGTATATACTATTCCTCAATTATTAATTATTATTTACAGGGTTATGGGTGCAGCTGCACTCCAAAAGTATGTTGGAAGCTTAGGTGGTATAGGTACATCTGGTGTTGGTTCAAGTGCTACATATGCTCCAAAAGATCTCAACAAAGAAATCATGCCAGAGAAGGTAATGCATTGTTCTATCTTGGTATGTTCTACATTCTGCATGTTTAACCTTCTCATGCATTGGAATGTAAGTATGAAATTCCACAAACTATACTTACTTCTCTGCTTTTTAATTAATCCTTGACTTGTTTATCTCAACGGAGAAGGGAGGGAGGGAGGGAGGGAGGGAGGGATTATGAGTTAGGAAATTTACCATATTCCCAAAAGAATATGCATTCCCCGGTAAGTGGTGGAAGTTTTTGTTGTCTTCGCTAATCCTTTTTTCCAGGTTATTTCAAATTATGATTAATGGTATGGAATCCTAATTTGGCTAGAACTCAAGCAAAAATGAGGGTTTGTACGTGTATACACATACTTTAATTATGTTAATGACCTTTAAATTGCAGTCATGGGTTTTTGGGAATAATAATTTTATTCTTCTTCCATAAAATAGATGATGATATATTTCAAAATGTCTTTGTTTATTTTTTTTTTAAATATTCGTAACGGTCTATCTGACGTCAAGATTGCTTATGTGCAGAATGTGAAAACCTTCAAAGATGTTAAAGGCTGTGACGATGCAAAGCAAGAACTTGAGGAAGTAGTTGAGTATCTCAAAAATCCAGGGAAATTCACGCGTCTTGGTGGCAAGTTGCCAAAGGTTTGTCCGGATACAAGTTTATTTTATACTTATCTTTGTTGCACAGTTTTTTGCTATTCTTGGTGTTGGTAGATCTTAGCTATTCTGTCATGTCATTAGATATTTACAAATTTTTTTGAGAGTGTTATTTACTGGTTCTTTTTACTGGAGTTCTCGGTAGCCTTACTGATCATTCACCTTATGTGGATTAGTTTTTTTAATCACCCAATCAATAGTTTTATTCTTGTACATACATTATTTCATTGATATATAAGCACGGGGATAATTGTTTTGCAGGGGATCCTCTTGACTGGTGCACCTGGGACTGGGAAGACATTGCTTGCCAAGGTTTGATTCAACAGAAACTGCTTTGGATCTTCTGATCATATTTTCTATTTAGTTCTGGTTTGGCTGTGCATTTCTTTGTAAAACTGCTTTGACTATCTGCATTTGATTACATTTAGAAAATTGTTTGGGCTTACTTTTCATCATCATTATTGAGAAATCATTCTAAATGTGTTCGCTTAAGGGTTTTATCTTGTTCTTTGGTAAATGCAATACTATTTATGGAACTTTCTCCTTCTATTTTATTTTTGTGGGACCCGTGTAAAATGTACCCTTTTAAGTTTAATTCAATGAAACTTGACTCAACCCGGGCTAATGCTTTTAGACGTTGCCTTGGCTTTGAATGGATTATCAGGTTAGGATTGTGATCTTTTAGTGCTTGTCTTAAGATATGATTGGCTTGCAACCCGACCTAACCTGTTTGATTCTTACTTCTATGTATGGGTGCAGAGATGTTAGAGGACTAAGAAAAAGTGGCTAAGAATAAATATACTGTAGCCACATGTTTAATATAACAAAATGAGCTCATCAGTATGATGTTAGAGGCAATTTAACCAAAGTGTGGGATGAGATTTGGGTAAATGGTTTCTACATGTGCAATTGAAAGCAATGAAGCACTCCTTTTTCATGATGGGATTGTTACTGATAGTAGGTAAGTACTTGTGACAGACAATTGAGCATAAGTTGTGAAGGTTAAAGAGGACATGATATTTTGTAATTGTAAATAACTAAGGGACATGGCCTCTAAATGCACTGAATGGATGAATAGATTCATTTATCCTACCACGGTGATGAAGGCTTTGCTGTTCTTTGTGTGGGAAGGGATTGAACGCGCGCTATTAGTTTCCACTTTTCTACTTGATTTTTTGTATAGTTTTTAACTTTTTGTGATGCTTTGAATAGTCTTTTTTTTTAATAGATTGTTTCTCATAGGCATATTGTTTTTACCTTTTCTCCTTTAGATATGGCATGCTGTCATTACTGACATCAATTCTCTTCAGGCTATTGCTGGTGAAGCTGGAGTTCCCTTTTTCTATCGTGCAGGTTCTGAATTTGAGGAAATGTAAGACATTCATTTTTCAGATATTATGTTTCATTTGCTTAACTAGCTATTAAATATTAAATATTACACTTATTGGTTATGCTTTACCTGAGTTACTTAACCACCCTTTCTAAGTTTGAGGAATTGTATGAATCCATTTTTCAGATATTACGTTTCATCTGCATAGTTAGCTATTAGCAAATTACACCTGTGGCTTATTCTAATGAGTTTTCCCAAGTTTCTGATCTGCTCTGAGTGTGTGCATCATGCTCCACTGGACGCACACTTGTTTAGCTGCATGTGCATGCCTTTAGCACATCCATATGACCATTTTGACATATTTGTCTACATTAGGGTTGACGTTTCAGCAATTACTAAATGATACCCTCAAAATTTGCGAACTATTTATGTTTCTTCTTGCCCCGTGGAAGCAAATTTTGCTGTGATTTCAGTTTGCTTCTAATTTGTTTCATTTTACTAACAAAACTTACACATTCTTAATGATGTTCAATATATTCCAACAAATATTCACCTGTTCATGAAACTTGAGCTTCTAAGGTTAATTATTTCATCAAAAAAAAATCAGTGGAGTGATTTACACCGAGGGTATTTTTGTACGATGATGGAAAACATAGGACCTTACCTGACGTTCAAATTAGGACCTTAAGTCCATATCAAAAGGTTTTAGTCATATTTTTCTTTATTTTACTGAGAAGACATAATTTTATAGTTGAAATTGAACTATTTATTTTTAATTTCCTTGCAGGTTTGTTGGAGTTGGTGCTCGGCGTGTCAGATCCTTATTTCAAGCTGCCAAGAAAAAGGTAGACTTTTCTACTGTTCTTTTCTTGTTGTGTGTGTGGTCATATTTCTTCTTTTTTTTCTTTTTCTTTCTTGTGTAGAATAAATATGTTATGCCACTATGAACATAAAAATTTGAAAAGTACTTTGACATTGTCAGAAAGAGCAATAAAGGACACACTTATGGTGCTAATAAAAACCAATGATGGCTTATTCATCATTGTTCAAACACCAGGGTTGAACCAACTGTTTCTTATTCTACAATGTATACTAACATAAGTACACGTGCATATACCAAGTTTGGGTGCCCTTATGGAGTTTGTTAGACTTATTTGCTTGTTATATGTGCTTAGTTTGTTGCGTTTCCTATATTGTAGTCTCTAAAAATCTTAATTATACGTTTTGAAATGTCATTCATAGGCACCGTGCATCATTTTTATTGATGAAATAGATGCTGTGGGATCCACAAGAAAACAATGGGAAGGTCATACTAAGAAAACATTGCATCAACTACTTGTTGAAATGGATGGTTTTGAGCAGAATGAGGTACTGTACAAAATATTTCCGTTTTCTGATAAATATTCCTGCCATATATCTCAATTCATGTCTCATCTCTGTAAAATTTCAATGTAGGGCATAATACTGATGGCTGCAACAAACTTGCCAGATATTCTTGACCCAGCATTGACGAGACCTGGTAGATTTGATAGGCATGTAAGTACTCAGGTTCTGTTATGTGCTTTTGTGAATATTTTCTTTTAGTTGCAAAAAACTGGAAATTGGAAATTATTTTCCCTCTCTGTTTTCAAGAAGAATAATAAAGTAACTTATGAAATTTGTCTGCATGTGTATCACTATCAGTAAATAAACTGGTGTTTAGATCACGTGAATAAGATTAATTCAGCATAACATTGGGGAAAATATTTGCTTTGCTGCATAGATAGATATGAATGTTTACTTTAAATCAAATGTTCTACTTTTTAGATTTATTTATATGCTTGAAGCAAAAAATATATTCTAACATCCACCACCTATTAGATTGTTGTTCCTAGTCCTGATGTGCGAGGACGGCAAGAGATCTTGGATCTCTATTTGCAGGACAAACCACTGGGTGACGATGTGGATGTTAAAGCAATTGCTCGTGGGACTCCTGGCTTTAATGGTGCAGGTATTCTCTACTGCTCCATTCAAATATTAGTTTCACACAGTTAATGTATTATGACTAATTTTTTTCAATCTAGCTACCTCAATCCCTTAAAAATGGGAAATTATTGCTCGTCTCTTTTACTTGGTCAAAATGATTTAATTTGCTTCCGTTGATCCATTTGGAAGATAACATGTGAATAGATTTGTTGTTAAGGTTTGCTTGTCATGCTGTTATAACAGGACCCTCAAATGAGAGGGTTCTAAGGGAACCTACACATAGGAAAATATCTCCCTGTAGATTACTTAAGGTCAATCTGCACCGCTAGATAGCGCATGATACCTCATTTACTTGTGAACACGAAGCTTTCAACTATGCAGTAATTGAGCAAATTTTCCTAGATGGAGAAAGAATCAAGGGAGAAATAAATCTGCTATATGGATAATGGAACTATATTCAACTCAGGCAATAATACAGCTTGACCTGAATCAGCAAAAAAGGCAGATAGACCTTCACTTGATGAAAAGTTCAAGATTTGATGCATGTGTTGCTGTAAAAGAAATATGTTACTGAGTTCTTCCATGTTGTTCTCAACAGATTTGGCAAACCTTGTTAATATTGCTGCCATAAAGGCTGCAGTAGAAGGTGCTGACAAATTAACTGCTGCCCAGTTGGAGTTTGCAAAGGACAGGATAATTATGGGTACAGAGCGTAAAACTATGTTCATAACTGAAGACTCCAAGAAGGTATTATCCTTTTCCCCATTTTATAAGGCTCCTAGGCTTGTATATTACATCTCCACTTCAAATTCCTCGATCGTTTCTTTCCAAATCAACAGTTGTTTTTCTAATTAAGTTCGTATAATATCTTTCTACAAGCTCACGGCATACCATGAGAGTGGCCATGCGATTGTCGCATTGAACACTGATGGTGCTCACCCTATTCATAAAGCCACAATAATGCCTCGAGGATCTGCTCTAGGAATGGTTACACAGCTTCCTTCTCACGATGAAACCTCAATAAGCAAGAAACAGTTATTAGCACGACTTGATGTTTGTATGGGAGGAAGAGTTGCAGAAGAACTTATATTTGGTGAAGACTCTATTACAACTGGTGCAAGCAATGATATCCACACAGCTACAGAGCTTGCCCAGTACATGGTACATTTTCATGTTCTATAAAGTTTATATACACTTTTATCTGTATATTTATCCTTCAAACATTATTCTGACTATTGTTTGTCAGGTGTCAACTTGTGGCATGAGTGATGCAATAGGTCCCATTTATGTCAAAGAACGACCAGGATCAGAGATGCAATCACGAATTGATGCTGAAGTATGTTTTCATTTCTCCATTTTATTTTTTCCCCATAAATACTACCAGTTGAACTTTTCTAATGGAAGCTATTATAATTGCAGGTGGTGAAGCTCCTTAGAGAAGCGTATGAACGAGTCAAACAATTGCTGAAAAAGGTTTTCCTCTAAGATCTCTTTTAATTACGGGAAATATTTAAATTTTCTACCATGCATTTTTCTGATGAGCAGATGTATAGGGAAACTTTTGCTTGTCATGAAACTTTGCATTTCCTAGCACTTCATGAGTTACATTTAATAAATTTGCATCATAAGCTAACTTTGCCTTGATGGTTAATAGCCATGATACAGAACTGTAACAGCCATCATCACGATGAGGAGGGCTTTAAAGACACATAGATGCATACCTTTATCAATACATATACTTCATATGTATCATGTATGCGTTACCTGTACCTGCAATAATCCTGGTGCACATGCAAATCTTGCTATTGGGTGTTCTTAAATTTGTTCATTTAGTGAACTGTAAGTTTCACAGACGGATAGTTTTGATCAGCACTGGGTTATAGATCAGGACAATCATGCATGGTTGGAACGAAGTATAGATGTTTGTATAATTGCTATTCTGTGTACTATCTGAAAGGCCTGAATTTGATGAAGGAATGAATGAGTTGATAAAATCAACAAAGCTTATGAAGATTTGGTCCTGTACGTGTGTAACAGGTTCATACTCTGCACATCATTAAATTACCCATGAAAAAAGTGCTTCTAGATTACTTGAGCAAACAATGGTATTATAGCACCAAGTCTGCAAAATAACCCACATGCAAGGTTTATTGGCAAGATAGCAAAGAGAATGGTTAAGTTGAAAAAGTTGACAGATTCTGCAATTTTCCCACTTGGAAAATCAGGAGAATATACTACTCAAAACTAAAAACAGTTTGTGAAATATTGTCAAATATCTTGAATACTACAGTGATGTGACAGTATGAATCACTGTGTTAGACTATCGTAATCCAAAATGTGTCAGCATATCAGAGTATAAAATACTTGCCTTAAAGCCTTAGTCATAGCTCCTGGGGTTTTTTGGAAGTGAGAGAGATGTTAAGGTGGCATCAGAGATTCAGATTCAAATCTCGAGTACATATTTAATGTAGACTAACAAAAATATTGTTGCCTAAAATATCCTAGATTTCAATATATGAAAAAGGACGATCAATCTACGGGGACATATTAGCGCATAAAAATTGTTTCCCTCAACATAACTTCAGAATTTTGTTGGTGGAAAGGAATTTAAGACAGCCAACAACATATTATGAAGAATAATACATTTTAACTTCCAATATTCTGGTCATAGAAATGTGCATTTTACTGTAGACAATTATTCTTCATAGTAAGATGAATCGTTTTCTAGCGTTAAGCAACAATATTCCAGGTTCATGCATATCCTTCTGTAACCTTATCACATTCCAAATCAAGATTAATTGATGATTTTTCCTTTATGGAGAAAATCGGTCAGTCTTTTTAGATTGATGGTTGAGATATTGAGCCAATTGTTCTTCATAGTAGTCAGATGAGGCGTTTTCTAGCGTTAGGCGACGATATTCCTGGTGTGTATCCTCCTGTAACCTTATAACATTCCAAATGCAGATTACCTGATGATTTTTCCTTTCTTCATCGACAAAATTGGTCAGTCTTTTTTTTAGATTGATGGTTGAGTTTAACTGTAAGTCTATTTCTTATTTGGGTAGTTGATGGAAATATTTGAGTATGTAATATCTCATTTTGATTGTTCTAGTCTGGACTCAGTTGGACCCCAGGGAGGAAGGGATGGAATTGTATGAAAGATTAAAATCTTAAATCTTGACTGCTTGGTAAATAAGATGGTCATATCATGTTTGAAAATGATGAAGGGAAAAGGTGATGGTTAAACGAACTTTGTTCACATGAAAAGAGAAGAACTAGAGCATAAGCTTGTTGATGCATTCTAAAACCTCCAACATGTCAACTGTATTCTCTTTTCCCCTGAAATTCCTAGATAGAATATTTAATTAGGGTGATCATTTACTTGTGGAAATGTTATATTTTGTTCTTTGACTACATTATGTCTTCCTTCACCTAATAATACTATTTTTGAGTTATTATCTCATTCTCACTTGAATTTGACTGTATTTGGCAGCATGAAAGTGCGCTACATACACTAGCAAATGCTCTCCTGGAGTATGAAACCCTTGGTGCAGATGACATTAAGCAAATATTAAATCCTTATGGAGGAGTCCAATTATCCGAACAACAACAAGAGGAGCTTGCGCTGACATAGAATTTGTGTCCTTCATTGATGAAGCCTTTACCAATGTAAAGCATTGTACAGTATCACAATTAAAGGTATTTTATTCTTCCCTTCATCGGTCTCCTCTAAACATGGTGGAGTCATATTCTTTAGCCCCAAGATTTATAAAATTGATAATCAGAGGGAAAATAAATCCTCCCCGTAAACAAAATGAAATCTTCTTGGAGCTTGAGGCTGCAATGTACTTGAGGAAGAAATAACTTATTGTATTTATAGAAACTTGTAGGATTGCCGATAACTTGTATTGTACATTCTAAAATTTCCCTATTATAGCTGTAACATTAACTTGGTTAACAGGTACCGCAATTTTGTTGAACATTATCCTTTACTGTAGAAGATTTTTTTTTTTTTTAAGTTTCTTATCCTCGTTGTATCAATATGTTTTATATATTCCCTTTTAGTATGGAATTAAGTGCTTCTTTATGCTTGACATTTGTTGCAACTGTATTTGAGGGAACCTGCTGAAGGGATAGTAGAAGTATGTACTTTTCAGACTTGTCTACTTTATATTCAAAGTGCATTCTAATACTTCCTATTAACTGGTAAATCTCCATGTCTCGTTTCTTTTACTACTTATGTAAATGGTGTTCTTTCTTTAAATCTCCTGCCTCTTTCTGATATCTTACCATATATGAGGAATAAAATGTTTATCTGAATCATAATCTTTTTAATTACACGTTAAAAGATGAAAATTCATCATATGATTTATAATACATATTACCTGTGTTAAGTATATATTTATCAAAGTTGAGTTAAATTAAGAAAGTGCTACGGGTTGTTCTGCTATATTTTCTGGACAAGGTACTCTTGCTATGCAGTCTTGACATATTTCTGTATAGTTGTTGATATATTGGTAGCTTTTGGATTACTTTTTGCAATATGACGCTAAAGCGCTTAATTTGCATCAAATGACTGTTACTTTTATTTCTATATAATATCTTTATGAATAGCTTTCAGAAGATAATTAGAGTTTTATCCTTGGAAACTTATTTACAGTGAACTAGAAAGCGAATCAAATGATTCGAATCATTGGATCGATTGATGCTGAAACTGTAGTATGTCTGCTACTATTATCGTAAGGTAATAGTGCTATCTAAGTGGCAGCTTACTAAATACGTTAAGAACGATTACTGATAGCTGATGATGACAAAGCTCATTAAGTCAATGAGATTTAAGTACCTCATGGACTTCAAGCACTTCGACATGTGAAAAATTTCACAGTTGAGAGGGACACTAATCAAACTTTCTTCACTCTTGCCACTTATTGGGCCAAGCTTATCCATAACAGTAACCAAAGAGCACCGATTTTTGTAGGGAAGAAGGGGGCACCAGTGTTTTTGGTCAGAAAAGAGCCAAGCAACCAACTTTGCCGGCAATAAATAGCAACCAACTTTGCCACCGACGGACGAAAACGCTTTTCTTCACTTGAGATGTACAAACAAATCTCCATCATTTTTGTTTGTTCCCTTCCTCAGGGAACGACGTTGCCATCAATAATACCACGAGTCTCCAGCACTTGACCAGAAGCAAGACTAGTGGAGGGGCTTGCAGCAGTCACACCAAGGGGTATTCATCAGGATAGATGTGTGCTGATAAATTGTTGAAACCAGGGGCTTCACTGTTTCTATCTCTTGGGAGCACATTTATATTTCGTCGCATTTTAATCATTCTTATCCAAATATAATTTTAAAATCTAATAAATCAACCCTTTTTGAAACACATGAACCGTATTCTCACGCACCCCCATTGAGGTTAGATATCATGTACCAGCCTGGAAATAATGCTCTTAAACAACTTATAGGAAACTATAATTAAAAATAAGATCATTTAAACTGACTTTTTTATAATAAATGAATAAAATGAAGATAATAAAAATATCCTAAATACGGCTTGAATGAAATTAAGATATAAGACAGTTTAATGTCCAAAAATAATTATGCGCAAATGATGCATGACAAAAAAATTCTCAATCAATCAACCAGTCATAAGATGTAATAAGTAAAATATTAAGAAAAGTTATAATGATTTTTAATTATTTTTTCTCCGTATTAATCCTCTTTTTATAAGTTGAAAGAGTTGGTTCTTTGTCCATTTCAGTAAATATTATTATTCAAAATTTTTAATTATAGAAACTTTTAAAAAAATTTAAAAAGAAAATATATTTTCAAAATTTTATTATAATTGCTATAATATTTTAAAAACTAAAAATATCTTTTAAAAAGTATTCTTTTAATCATTGTAATATTTTTTTAATCTGATTTGGATATATTAGCAAACGTATTCTAATTGGTGATATCTGAATATTTAATTTGAAAAGAAATGCCTAAATGAGAGGATTTGATTTTATTTGTAATTTGAATTAGCTATTAAAGATATCTGAATATGTGAATTAGTTATTAAAGATATTGCCAAAGATATTCTAATTGATTATTTTATATGTGAATATCTGATTATAAATTGATTTTTTACTATCTCTGAATATCTGATTTGAATTAGATACTAAAGATATTATCATATATATTCTAAAATTTTGAAAAACAGCTAAATATATTTTTTTAAAATTTATCATAATTACTGTAATATTTTTAAAAATTAAAAATATTTTTCTATTTGAAATTTTATAAGCTGTAATAATTTAAAAACCCAAAAAATATTTTAAAATATTATAACTCAAATTTTAAATTTTTAAATTTTTTTAGAAAATTCAAAATAATTTAATGTACTTTTAAATATTTATTATCATTGCTGTAAAATTTTTAAAAACTAAAAACAATTATTGCTATAATATTTTTTTTAATCTCATTTGGATCTAGCATCAAAGATATTCTAATTGAATATAAATTAATTATATCTGAATATCTAACTTAAAATAAACGCCTATATGAGGGGATTTGATTTTATTTGTGACTTGAATTAGTTACCTAAGATATTGTTCAAGATATTCTAATTAATTATAAATTAATTTTTATATAATCAAATATCTGATTATAAATTATTTTTTTCTATATTTGAACATCTAATTTGAATTAGTTACAAAAGATATTGACAAAGACACGCTAAAAATTAGAAAATACCTAAATATATTTTCAAAAATTTATTATAACTGCTATAATACTTTTAAAAATTAAGAATATTTGTTATTTATAATTTTTAAATAATGTAATAATTTCAAAACTAAAAATATATAATTTAAAATATCATAATTTTAAATTTTAGAAAGTTTTAAAAAATTTAAAATTTAAAAACTTGTTATAATTTCTGTAATATTTTTAAAAATGGAAATTTTAACAAAAATATTTTTAATCGTCCTAATATTTTTTAATCTAATTTAGATCTAGCACCAATATATTCTAATTGATTATAAATTGATTATACATGAATATCTGATTAGAAAAGAAACATCTAAATGAGGGGATTTAATTTTATTTATAATTTGAATTAGTTACCAAAAATATTTTTAAAGATATTCTAATGTATTATAAATTACTGTTTTTGATATCTGAATATCTGATTATAAATGAAGTTTTTTCATATCTAAATATTTGATTATAAATTAATTTTTTCTATATGTGAATATATGACTGTAAATTGATTTTTTTATATCTTAATATCACATTTGAATTAGTTACTAGAGATATTGTCGAAGATGTTAAAAATTTTAAAATAATAAAATATATTTTTAAAATTTTATTAAATTGCTATAATATTTTTAAAAAGTGATAGTAGTTTTCTAATTATTATTTTTTATAACTGTAATAATTTAAAAACCCAAACATATATTTTAAAATATTATAAATATTTTTTTTAAATTTTAACTTTTCTAAAATTTATAAAAAGAAAAAATATTTTTAAAAATTAGTTATAATTATCGTATATTTTAAAAACTAAAATATTTTTTTTAAAAATATCTCTTAATCCATGTGATATTTTTTTAATCAGACTTGGATCTACCATCAAAAATATTCTAATTGATTATGAATTAATTATATATGAATATCTGATTTGAAAAGAAACATCTAAAAATTAGGGGATTTGATTTTATTTACAATTTAAATTAATTACTTAAAATATTACCAAATATATTTTAATTAATTATAAATTAATGTTTTTCTATATTTGAATATATTATTATAAATTTATTTTTTCTATATCTGAATATATGATTTGAATTAGTTATTAAGGATATTACCAAAGATATTCTTAAAATTCAAAAAAGCCTAAATATATTTTCAAAAACTTATTATAATTGTTGTAATATTTTTCTAAACCATTGATATTTTTTATTTATAATTTTTAATACCTATAATAAATTAAAAACCTAAAATATAATTTTAAAAAATATTTTAATTATTGTAATATTTTAAAAACCAAATATATATTTATTGTTAAACTTTTAAGACTATTTTAATTACAAAAATATTATAAATAATTAAAAATATGTTTTCACAACTATTTGAAAATGTAATAAAATCCAAATTAAATTTAAAAATTAGTAAAAAGTTTCAAATTATATAAAAATGAAAAAAAATCAAATTGTAATATGTAAATATTGGAATTAAAACTCAAGTTCTAAAAAATTAATATATTTTGATAAAAATTAAAACTATAAAATAAACTACACAATTTAAAATAAAATTTATATTAGACTTGGGTAAATGAAATAGTTGTAATATTTTTCTTCCAAGCAATTAAAGAGTTATGCGTTGAAGATGAATTACATAGGCAAAAAACCGACAATCTAAAAAAATTAAATACAATTAAAAGGACTAAATATAATACACAAATTAGAGTAAAATAAATAATTACTATAATATTTTATAAAACTTAAAAATATATTATATATGAGAAAAATGGGTATGCTTGGTACCAAGCACAAATTTTATGCTTGGTAGTGAGATGTCATATTCTTATCCACTCATTCTAATTCTTAGTCACTCCCCAACCCATGTGAATTTGGGCCCCTATTTCAATAAGTGGAGGGGAATATGTCACATCACTACCAAGCAAAAAAAATTGTGTTTGGTACCAAGCATACTCATCTCTCTCTCTCTCTCTTCTCTATATATAATATATATATATATTATATATATATATATATACTATATATTATATATCATATATATATATATATATTTAGTATTATATATATATATATATATAGAAGAAACTGCAACAGTTGAACTCCACCACCAACTTCTTAACTATTAGATGTTTTCCTTAGGGTCCTTCATGGATATGAAGTTGACTTAATAATATTTCGTGTGGGATAGCCAATAGTTGTGTGGACAAAACTATCTCCCTATCATCTTAAGTTGATTAGTGAGTCATTGCTTATATATTTATAAAATATTATACTAATTTATATATATATATATATATATATTATATATATATATATATATATATATATAGTATATATATATATATATTAAACAACAAATGGCACGAAATTAAATGAATGGTACATGCCAAAAAAAGTAGGAAGGAAAGAG